AACGGATGTTTCCCATGACCAGCTCAGTGCAGGAACGGAATAAACTCGTTAACCGAGATTTCACAGTATATGCATTTAAATGGCCTGATATCGATTGGGAGGTTATACTTTTTGTAAGGATGCATCGTTGAGGAAATCGGCTGCCCATTTTACAGATCTACGTAACTGCTACCATGAGAAAAATCAGGGACAAGATATTTTTTACCCGACTTCTCTCTTTAAACGTAAACGGCATAAAGCCTTAGACTTTTCAGTGCTTCATCTGTAGCGTTTTGCGGAGGCTAATTTTCTATGCACGCTCAAATTTACAATATGATAATCGCAAATTGAAAGGCTAAGGACCAAGGAAATCACCCGAGTTTAGTTTTCGAACGTTCTCCTCAACATATTATTTTGCTCTAGTACTTTTTCGAATATCTTGTACCCATTTACTCTTTAGTCAGTCGTAACACGTACGTCAAGTCCCAGTTGGTGTGATACAAAACTATTAAACAAACAGTGACTAATAAATGAGGTAAAAACCTTAACATTGGGTACACATAGTCAAGAACAAGGCAGTCGACCAACTATCGCCTGAGTCTAGACAAAGGGAACGACGCATGTCTAAAAACGCAACGCGTGTGCAGGGCGAAGTCAGGCCTGGGAGAGCGCGTGTGGTGGGAGAGGGATGACCACTGCTTTTATCTAACTTGGAGCCTGTTCATGTGACTTTCGACTGGTGTGAAACATTTCCCGGAGGGGGTCTCGTGTAGAGAAGTCCATAGTGCACCGTTAAGGGAAGCGGTTTTATTCAAGTGGTCCTTCGGCCGCCGCGACAATCTTGCGCAAATGCGTGCACGTGGGGAGTTGGCGGCCGCGTTCATTTGCAAGCAGGTGTTAGCGCACGTGGAAGCAGATCAAGGGTTTTGAGCTCAGCGAAGCAGAAGCAGCTGCTTCGCGAGGACGCTTTCCTTGAATGAGAAGGAGCGGAGAGCATTATTCGCCAACCACCACAAAGTCCGACACAGGCCTTCATGTCAGCGAGTCGAAACAAATGTATCTTCAGGCAGCGGGGGATACAACGCTGTGGAGGAAAAGGCAGTAAAACAAGAGAGCGGGACGGGGGGTTAAGACAGCTTTTATATATATGCTTATTATGCCAGTTTACAGACAGGAAAAAACCTAAAATAAACCCCCTCCTTTGCAGCCAGCATTGGTTTTGTCTCGATTTTGTGTTTTGTAAATACTGGGCGAGATAGGGAGTTTGTTCCAAGTGAAAAAAACCTGACTTCAAA